CAGGGGGTGTAACCAGGTTAATTTCTTTATTACTGGCATTTACAAAGTGCCAACAAATTCCACAGCGCTGTACAATTGGGAAATGGACAAACACAATAAGAACAGACCGATACGAGGGGTAGAAGGCCCTCCCCGTGAGCTTACAATCTAATGTGCACTCTTTGTAAAATGCAAACAAGTGGACCCACTCTTCACACATTGAGCATTTCAGCAAGGTACATAACTTTGAGGCGTTGGAGTGTTCCTTTAAGTGCAGTAATGAGAAGCATAATGTCCATTGGATAATTCTTACAATGCCGTTGCTCCTCCCCACTGCTGCTGTCATTAAATCATGCTCATTCACACATGGCTGTCATCTGAGACTTTGTGATTAATCCCAATATTTAGCATAAAACATTTTCAAAGTACTTTCTTTGCTGGTTTTATATTGAACTAAATAAAATTCTGTTTTCAGTTCATGATCGCTATCTCAAATCGCTGTTTAGTACATACATTACCCCTCCCCCCCCACGCCCCCCTGCAAATGCCTGGTAGATAATTTAGTCAGGAACTGTACAAAACTCAATTATCTCCAGGCACAATAACACACATTTCACAAACACCCCAAAGTACCTTAAAATACATGTAAACCCCACAAATGTTATTCCCCCCCCGATTGCCCCGATCTGGGTGACCAACATATTTAAAAATCACCCAGATCGGTTCAGTAGACAGCCACTAGAGAAGGACTTAATCCTGCAATGTAAATATTGCAGCTTACGAAAACTGCAATAATTACACTTGCAGGGTTAAGGGTAGTAGGAGTTGGCACCCAGACCACTCTAATGGGCAGAAGTGGTCTGGGTGCCTGGAGTGTCCCTTTAATGCAGTGTTGGTGGAGGTATTTTATTGTTATGTCCAGGCCAGTCTTTCTGTCTGTATTGTGAGTGTACCTCTCTCCTCCCCTTCATGCCCCAGGCTAGTCACACAGTGCAGCTGTACACTCCCGGATCCAAAACTAGAATGCTCTTGCTGCAGCCAAGCCGCGCTGTCGGTCTGTCTGTCCCCATCTGATTATTGTACCCGCCTGCTCACACTAGATATGCTTATTACAATAGGGAGCAGGTCAGAGACCCCCTTGTATTTCCAGGATTGGTGCAAACAAGATTGTCATAGATATGTATATAATATAATTTGGTGGCAAGTTCGAAAGGTGGAGCTGTTACCATGGAAACCAGAGAAACGTTCCTGCAGATTATTCTTGCCCCAGAATTGATCTCTGATTTTCACATCGTTCACATTGTTTGCCGGACACACATGGCGCCAGGCAATGCGCCAGGCACAGAGCACACGGTGAGCCTCTGCTACTTGTTAGCATTGCCGCAGTGCAAGAACTG